GGTAGGCCAGGGTCATGTCTTTGGTTGGCCAGGGTCAGGTCTTTGGTTGGCCAGGGTCAGGTCTTTGGTTGGCCAGGGTCAGGTCTTTGGTTGGCCAGGGTCATGTCTTTGGTTGGCCAGGGTCAGGGCTTTGCTAGGCCAGGGTCAGGTCTTTGGTAGGCCAGGGTCATGTCTTTGGTTGGCCAGGGTCAGGTCTTTGGTAGGCCAGGGTCAGGGCTTTGCTAGGCCAGGGTCAGGTCTTTGGTAGGCCAGGGTCAGGTCTTTCGTAGGCCAGGGTCATGTCTTTGGTTGGCCAGGGTCATGTCTTTGGTAGGCCACGGTCAGGTCTTTGGTAGGCCAGGGTCATGTCTTTGGTGGGCCAGGGTCAGGTCTTTGCTGGGCCAGGGTCAGGTCTTGGCTAGGCCAGGGTCAGATCTTTGGTAGGCCAGGGTCAGTTCTTTGGTAGGCCAGGGTCAGGTCTTTCGTAGGCCAGGGTCATGTCTTTGGTTGGCCAGGGTCATGTCTTTGGTAGGCCAGGGTCAGGTCTTTAGTAGGCCAGGGTCATGTCTTGGCTAGGCCAGGGTCAGATCTTTGGTAGGCCAGGGTCAGGTCTTTGGTAGGCCAGAGTCAGGTCTTTGGTAGGCCAGGGTCATGTCTTTGGTTGGCCAGGGTCATGTCTTTGGTAGGCCAGGTTCAGGTCTTGGCTAGGCCAGGGTCAGATCTTTGGTAGGCCAGGGTCAGGTCTTTGACTACGCTCACCTGGAAGTTGTCCACCAGCAGGGTCCTGAAGTGGTGAGATCTGGAAAAGAGCTCGGAGACGATCTGGAAGGCGGACAGTCGGATCTCAGCGTGGTCCTGGTTTAACTGGGTCATCAGTAGATGGTAGACGTGGTCGATGCAGTCACTGGATGCTCTGAGGGACAAAAAGCAGAGCAGAGATCAGACCCAGGACTGGACTTGTGCTGGTCCAGCTGTCTGCTGCAGACCTGCAGATGTTCTTCAGCTCTCTTGTCTTGTTCTGGTCCAGCTGTGGCTGTCCAGATGTGGTCAGCTCCTCTATCAGCTGTTGGAGCTGCTGCCTCTGAGGCATCTCCATCCCGGACACAGACTGAGCAGACAGAGACACAGTGTTTTATTTATCATAAACTAATAAACAAACATGTTTCTGTTTGTGGTAAACTCTCGTCTTTGTTCTCTAAAGTCACTCAGAGTTTTTATTTTCCGATCTTTAAATTATTAACGGGAAATAAATCCTTCAGACAGTTGTTGGAGCAACACAGAAGTGACTCCGGAGAACAGGAACAGCTTCTTCTTCTTCTTTTGTTTAACTATGGTGGTTGATAAATAAGTTACCGCAACCAACAGGAAATGAATGTGGACCGAACGAGTCTTAGTAAAAATAATAATAATAAAATAAATAGAAAATAATAATTTATCACACGACTTACTAAAATGGCCTGGTAGCTTCTGTTTCTTGACTCTTTCTGGAGTAAACAAAAACAGCTGCACTTTGGTTCCGCTTCACTTCCGGAAACAGCAACAACTACCGGTTTGACTTTTCAGAATAAAAGAATGAACTTGAACAAACAAGGCATCGACCTTTTATATTAACTCCAAGCAAACAAAAAGAATGCAATGATGACAGTGACACAAAATAAAACAAATAACAATAAAAACAGAGGGAACTTTGTCTTTTTATTTTCTTCAATAAAAAAAGCTATTCGTATCTAGCCTGGCCCATGCCTTTCTACACAGTTCCGCTCAGCAGTGGTGGAGCCAGACATCTTTCTCAGGGGTGGCCAGACTGGGACCACTACTCACACAGGGGTGGCCAGACTGGGACCACCACTCACACAGGGGTGGCCAGACTGGGACCACCACTCACACAGGGGTGGCCAGACTGGGACCACCACTCACACAGGGGTGGCCAGGAAAATTACATCATTTTTTACTTGAAATTTTAATCTTTGTGGTTTTGGTCATTTCCTCATGTCCTTCCATAGGCAGTGACCTTATAAACATGGGCATCAGAACCATTTTAAAAGTGGGGGGACACACTGTTGCGGGGTCTGGGAGTCCTAAATTTTGAACAAAATAGATGCCATTTCCATCATTCTGGTGTATTTTACTAGGTTGTTTAACATACTTTTACCTACATAAATAAACACTTGATTTAATTATTTCATAGACAAATTATTCATTAAACTATTTCCATCATCCTGTTTTTAAACTCACTGCTATATCTGAGATAAGTTTAATTGATGTGACACAATTTATCATATCCATTGACTATAGGGGTGCTTTTTACTTTTATATTGTTTATTTATTTATTTTTAATTGTAACACATGTCATTGTGCCAAATAATGATGACCTTCAACTGCATGTTTGAAACTAACGTTAATATTTTTACCCAATGAACAGGTGTAATACTGATAACCACCGACAGTAAATTTAGAGGGGTGTTTCGCTTTTTCTGATTTCGTGATAGGCCTTCTTATAACCAAACACAGAGCAACATTCAACCTCCATAACATAAAATGACACTGTGTTAGGGTGACAAAAAACAAAACAAAATAAAACAAAAAACATTTGTCACCATAAGTCAGATTGGCATTTCTTCTGCGTAAAAAGAAAACAATCACTTCCTTATCACTATTTTTTTTCAGTGATGTTTCAAACTGTTAAACACTGCCACCAACTGTTCAGGAGGATTATTACACCTGTAAAGGTTGTTTCACTGTGTAATGTGTGTGCAGCAGGGTGGCCAATGGGGGGGCCAAAGATTGGACTGTGGCAGCCATGGCCACCACTGGCTCCGCCCCTGCCACTCAGGACAATTATCTACATTTGTGTCAATATTTCAAAATAGAGATTCCACATTGTGTGTGTGTGTGTGTGTGTGTGTGTGTGTGTGTGTGTGTGTGTGTGTGTGNAGGCCAGGGTCATGTCTTTGGTAGGCCAGGGTCATGTCTTTGGTAGGCCAGGGTCATGTCTTTGGTAGGCCAGGGTCAGTTCTTTGGTAGGCTAGGGTCAGGTCTTTAGTAGGCCAGGGTCACGTCTTTGGTAGGCCAGGGTCACGTCTTTAGTAGGCCAGGGTCAGTTCTTTGGTAGGCTAGGGTCAGGTCTTTAGTAGGCCAGGGTCAGGTCTTTAGTAGGCCAGGGTCACGTCTTTGGTAGGCCAGGGACAGGTCTTTGGTAGGCCAGGGTCACGTCTTTAGTAGGCCAGGGTCAGGTCTTTGCTAGGCCAGGGTCAGGTCTTTGGTAGGCCAGGGTCATGTTTTTGGTGTGCCAGGGTCAGGTCTTTGCTAGGCCAGGGTCAGGTCTTTGCTAGGCCAAGGTCAGGTCTTTGCTAGGCCAGGGTCAGGTCAGGTCTTTGCTAGGCCAGGGTCAGGTCTTTCGTAGGCCAGGGTCATGTCTTTGTTTGGCCAGGGTCAGGTCTTTGGTAGGCCAGGGTCAGGTCTTTGGCAGGCCAGGGTCAGGTCTTTGGCAGGCCAGGGTCAGGTCTTTAGTAGGCCAGGGTCAGGTCTTGGCTAGGCCAGGGTCAGGTCTTGGCTAGGCCAGGGTCAGGTCTTTGGCAGGCCAGGGTCAGGTCTTTAGTAGGCCAGGGTCAGGTCTTTGGCAGGCCAGGGTCAGATCTTGGCTAGGCCAGGGTCAGGTCTTTGCTAGGCCAGGGTCAGGTCTTTGCTAGGCCAGGGTCAG